TATATATATATATATATATATATATATATATACGAAACTCGTAATGAGTTGCAATTACTGAATGAACGAATATCGAATGAGGTACACAGAAGCTTATTTGCAGATGTCAATCACTGAAGACGACTTTGCTCAGAAGCGTTTTACATGAACGAAGTGTTTACTGAATATCGTTCACCTGATTCCGTCAGCAGTAACTTCAACTGCCCAATTCGGAGGCAACGGCACCTCATCTTCTACCGTTCCACCAGATATATTTTCACCCACTATCGACGCACTTATTGCCCGGCCTGTAATAAACAATACTTTTCTACCTTTTTCAAGATGTCAACAGATGATTCAGTTGAACATAACAAGCACAATTAATCGAATCAAAATAAAGACCTGGCAAACTCTGTAGAGACATTGAAACGACTCGTTGACACCCACTATCACACTCACTTGTTCTTGTACTGTACTAAAATTCAGTGGCTGATTGATATGGTCAACGATTGAAAAAACATTACAAATACAACAGCAGCACGTCAGTGTCATTATCGGACTCAAAATGAACAACACTCTGAGGTCATGAACAGCTTTCGAAAATTGATGTAATACTTCTTGTAGTGTACATAAAGGGTAACTTAATGACGATGAGTTACACAGGTGCAAATTGAAATCTGTTTTCAAGATTCTTCATCGAAACTTACTTGAGCCACATTCCCGATGCTGAGTGAGGGTAGAAGACCCTTTTTAGCTAGTGATGCATGTGCCGTCCGACTGTCATTAAAACTTTGCGATGACAGTTCAGGCTTAGGTCTCGTCACAGCATTCTCACCAGCAATACGACTCACCAGATTTTGATCTAAACTTTGCGTCGACTGACGAACTGCTTGTGAAGCGGATGCAAGTGCTTGAAATGAGCCTGAAAAATTTCTGAGATGTAAGATAATCAAGCAAAGCAAATTTTGAGATCGAACAAGTTCTATTTACTGAATATGGAAAAATGCTGATGAGATGAAAACAAAAACTGAATAAAGAATAAAAGAGGAATAAATTCGACATGAAGTGCTTCTCTAGAAACGGTGCAACGATGTTCGTCGACATACAATGACGCGGACAGTACGACTGCAATAAGTAAAATACGTACGAACAAAAGCAATCATCACATACCGTCGCAGGACGGTACTGGCAAAGGAGTTTCTCTCTTCAGATAACGTCCGGGTGTTCCCTCAAGAAAGGTAGGTGTTTGATGACGCCTTCTACGATTTAACATACCCGTCTACAATTCACAAAACGATTACCCATAAACAAATGTCGGTAATGTTGTATTTCAGGTTGGTAAAATTACAACAGCATTTCGTTCGTGCGAACATTTCTTGCTCTACTTTAAGTAACATATTCAA